TCTGATTTGCTCTCAACAAAATCCAACACTTGGTGTCGTAATCATGTGTGGCATAAAGGCATATCTTCTGCTTATGTTGAATCAGAAATCTAGAAAAACTACCTCGTCGGAAATATTTATATTAAAAAGATTTCGTTGCCTGGGATTGACAAACATGCTTGTGCTTATTTCTTAGATGAAATTCAGTCCCATTTAATGAATTACTTTTTGATACACTCTCCAATTAAAATTTTGGATAATTTGTTGTACTCATTTGTAATATCACTGAATTAATTGTTATTCAATTCAACAACAACTTTACAAAATAAAGGATTTTAATGTGGAATAGAACATTCATCTTCGGAAAAATTTTGTAAAACTAAGAAAGTAATTTATAATATTCTGCTCCTATAGTAAAAAAAATCCATTCCCCAAATTTGAATTAAAATAAGTTCTTATTTTTTGTATAAGCTTTAAGCGAGTTATTAGTTACTTAATGTTCAAGGTGGGTGGTGACATTTTTCAGCTGATTCCGCCCCAGAAGTTTTTCTTACAATAATTTTTTAAGATTTTGATATTTTTTGTTTTTTCTGTAAACACTTCTTCTGATATCGTAAATTTGATTTTGTATTGATTGGAAAGAAAATTTTTAATACCTAAAAACTTTAATTGCCATCAAATGCTAGCCACTTATCGTTGCAAGCAAATATTTTTTTCCGACTTTTCCAATGTAGGAATTCTGAGCCACTTGTGTTTTTTTTTATTTAAAAAATGTTTTTTTTATTTATAAATAAAAATTAAAACAAAATTTATGGAAGAAAAGAACATTAAAATACCTAAACTGTTTGTAGATACAAGGGTACTTTTTTTGTATTTTTCTCCAATAATATGGAGTTAAGCAGTGGACTGATCGTTAAGACACGGTTCCCAGCATATCACCGAAGTCAAACATCACTGGTTGTGGTCAGTGTGCGGGTGGATGACCACTTGGATCAGTTAGCGCAGAGACCGAGAGTGTGCGGAATTCGTCCTCGTTAATCTGTTCTACCGTAAAGTGCTCGACTTCATGTGCAGGTCGTCGGGCTGCCGAAGTGGGGGTGCCATCCCCTCTGCAGAGGATTAAAATTGTGATGGTATGTCTTCGGATCATCCTGAGGGATGTTTCCCGGACCGTCGCCAATAGCCCATTTTTCAGCTCTAATGGGACGTAAATGAACTACACCACCAACAACAACCATTAATATGAGTACTGGATTGTTTAAGAAAAGTTTAAAACTGCGTAGTAATAACGTTTAATATAAAGTTAATAAACATTACTGTTTCTGTTTAAAAGTTTTGTAATTTTTGAAGAATTGATTTAATTTTCTTTTTTCATTAAATGTTTTTAACCTTTAAATAAGAAAAATAAAATAAAAATGTTTTAAAAAATATTAAAAAACCCAAACTATTTAAAGCTTATTCTTCTTTTATTTATTAGAATGATAATTTGATTATGCCATATAGAAATATTTAATAGCTAAGCAGTTATAATATTTGACTGAAAGTCTTTTAGCATTACTATATCATTTTAAAATATTAGGGAAAAAAATTCTTCATAAGTATATAGTAACAGTTAATGGTTATATTAGAAAGAAATTATTTGTTTACTAAAGCTTTTTATTTAAAATTGTTTAATTTTCATTTATAGAATGGCAAGACCATAGTAAGTATTCTCTAAAACGTAGAAACATTTTTTCTCTTCTAATTTTTGAAGAATTTATTTAATTATTTTTTATAAAATGTTTTTCAACCTTTAAGTAAGAAAATCAAAAAACATTTATTGAAAAAAATATATTAACAATCCTAAACTACGTGAAGTCATTTTTTAAGTGATCTTTTCTTGAACTTGAAATGAAATTTTTCTGCCTAAAACATTCCAGAAATGCTTCATGGAATAATATCTTTATGTATGGATTGCTTCTTGATCTTCTGAAGATCACCAATGATACCAGATCTGTGTGAAAATGCATTGTAATCCTTAAAAATTTCCTTAGGACCCAACGTAGATTCTGAAAATACTTATATGGGACTCTGAAATGTACTCCATATAATTCAGAGAGTAAAGGTGGAATTTTGTAAAATGCATATGATAATAACTGTGGAAAATTGAGAATTTTGCTCCTGTATAAGAAAGCCTCTCTGACAGCAAATATCTGCAACCAACGATTCACTGGTCAAAATCACAGCACTTTGCCCTCCCGGGTCCTTGTTTCTCTTCTTATGAAAACGAGACAGGAATCATAATTTTGAATGAATCAGAATACACCGAAAAGAATACATAACATATATAAATACACTGAAAAGAATAGTATTTTAATACAATTAATAAAAGTTTGAAGTTATTTGCGAAAATGAATGTTAATTTCTACTGAATGAAATTACTTATTATTATGCAAAGATTCACTCCCTCTAAAGAAACTACATGAACTTAAATTTGATAAATTTATGTAATCAGGTTTCATAGTTTATAAATGTTCTTAAATATGTGCTATAAAATTTTAAAATATGTATTATGTTCAGAGCAAACTATTTGAACCTAAAATAAAAGGAAAAATTCTTATATATAAATATATTGCTTCTGTATAAAATTAAAATATTAAAATTTGTATATGAGCCAATTTTTATGTGATTTAGATTTGATGGTACATATTTTTCCTATACAAAAAATATACATCATCTTAACCATTTCTATTTATGCGTCTCTGAGTAAAGCAATTTTAAAAGTCATGACAGCAAAATTCAATAATTATTAGCAATTGGAAACTTAATACAATCTACGGATGAAGACTCTGAGACTTGTTGCCGTTAGATGGACGATGCTTTGTGTATAAATCCGTTAACTTTGGTGTCGTAATCACGTGTGGCATAAAGGCATATCCTCTGTTTATATTGAGACAGAAATCTGGAAAAACTGCCTCGTCGGAAATATTTATATTAGAAAGATTTCGTTGTCTGAGATTGGCAAACATGCGTGTGCTTATTTCTTGGATGGAATTCAGACCCATTTAATGAATTACTTTTTGATACTGTCTCCAATAAAAATTTTGGATAATTTGTTGTACTCATTTGTAATATCACTGGATTAAATGCTATTCTATTCAACAACAACTTTACAAAATAAAAGATTTTAATACGGAATAGAACATTCATCTTCGGAAAAATTTTTCAAAAATTTTGTAAAACTAAGTAAGTAATTTATAATATTCTGCTACTATTGTAAAAAAAAATCCACTCACCAAATTTGAATTTAAATAAGTTGTTATTTTTTGTATAAGCTTTAAACGAGTTATTAGTTGCTCAATGTTCAAGGTGAGTGGTGACATCTTTTAGCTGATTCCGCAACAGAAGTTTTTCTTACAATAATTTTTTAAGATTTTGATATTTTTGTTTATCTTGTAAACAATTCTTCTGATATAGTACATTTGATTTTGTATTGATTGGAAAGAAGGTTTTTAATACCTCAAAACTTTCTTTGCCATCGATAGCCACTCATCTTTGCATGCAAATATTTTTTTAGACTTTTCCAATATAGGAATTCTGAGCCACTATCATTATCGAGAATACGAAAAAAATTCTGTCTGTCATTGCGAAGACTCGAATAGATAAGAAGTATATTTGGTAACGTGTTAGTGCAAAGCTGTTGCCAGTAGCTCATTGGCTGACACATGACACTCATTTTATACCCTGCTTTTGAATCATATTTGTGATGAAATTATAAATTTAAATACTACTTTTAACTGAAAGAGAAGTTATAAATTAACTATCGATTCAAAATCTATATATATATTTCTCTTACACGGCACCAAAAAAAAGGCCTCATTACAACTCCCCGAATGGCAACGTTAGCAAATCGACCAATGATTGCTGCTAAAAATGTCACATGCCAAACAAGGCTCAACATATAGCGCTTTTAAAAACGGAACCAATAACCAGGGTGAGCATTATCAGGTTGTTCAATTCAGCTGCGGCAATCTCATACTATTAAGCTAGGCAGAAGTGAGTAGTAGATCTCTATTTCAGTATTTTGTCGAAAGCGCTTTTCTGAAGTACTTTGTACAACTAAATAAGATTCTTTTCACAACACTTAAATATTTACTTTATTTTCTTCATTTATAGAGAAGACAGTCGGCAAAGAATTTTGTTAGGTTAAAAAACATTTCGCTAAAAAAAGAACGAATTCTAAAAGAAATAAAAATAAGCAACTTAAAAAATAAAAATGCTGTTGCCAGCCATAGAATTTTTTGAAAGTTAACTTAGCAACATAAATCAAAATGACGTAGAAACGCAACTAGATCAAAATTATGATACCTGACGTAACAAATCCTTCAATTCTATAAGTGTTGTATCGCCAAATGCCCAAATTAACAATTGCAATTTCAAATTAATATTGAAATGTACAGGCTTAGAATTTTCTACAGTGAAAAGTTTTCGGAACTTCAGTATTCAAAAAAGTATACAAAAGCTAGACGAAAAGAAAGTATCAAATGAGCGAGCATAGCGAGCATTGGATTGCGAAGCAATCCGAAATGAACTGCGAAAGCAGTTCCGGGGGTTGGCGAGCTCCAGCGAGTAGGGGGCGAAGCTTCCTAGTTAAGTACATTTCCTTTATAATATTTAACAATTTCAATTATATGCGAGTCGTCTATTGAGAACATAGTTATGTTTTCTTTCAATTTTCATGAGCAGTAATAGATTTTTTTAGTCATTAAATTGAAAAATTAGGCGCATTTAACTTTTGATAAACTTTTAATTTTTGAAACACGCAATTCTATTATCACTATTTCACTAAAAACGACTCATTTCGAAAAGTTGGTAAGCGAACTTGAATAAGTTTACCCTTGTCTCTAGGCCTATATCCAGACCTGCTTCAAATTGATTATGATGTATTTTCTAGACTGATTAGTTGATCGAGAGACTTCGGAATACTAGTCTCTATGACTTAGCAATATTTAATGTCAAAAGTCCAAAATATTATTCTTTATAGACATTTTCCGTAAACGGCTGAGGGTTCTTTAAGAAAATAGCACACCCGTCAGGGACACCATGTCCATATAAAACCATCTATAAGAGTCAATTTTGTTCATTATTTTTGAACTATTTTATTGTGATGTTAAGTATTTCATGATTTTACAAATTGAATTTTACTATCGTTTTTGTCATAATTTGATAAATTTTCACATAAAAGTAGTGTGGATTTTTTTGATTTTAATTGAGTTGCCCACAGAAATGCGTTTGGTTTTTTAAACTTTTGTTATTATTTGCTAAATGTTATTATTTGATGTTTCAAGAGCGTTAATACGAAGGATTATGCTGCGAGGATAAGATGCAACCACTGACATTAAATTAATCTCTCTGCTTTTATTTTATTAGGAATTGAACTTCAAATTGATTCTTTGAAATCTATTTTTTTTTCTAAAATAAAGAAATGCACATTACTTAACTATTCGTTTACTTTCTGAGAAATGAAGTTCACTGTAAAAAATTCCGGATCGGATTCCGGTAAAAAGTTCCAGCACTGAGTTGTGTAATAGTGTTTACTTAATCCCTGTAATTAAATTAGTATTACAGTTTAAATAATGATAAAAATTTTATGGATAAAATGTTTGAGTTAAAATGGATTTTACTGACACTACACTCATGTTGCCAGCACGTTTCTTTTATCTTAATTTTATCCTGATATTTTTTACAATGTTACAGTTATATGCTAACATTGATGGTGGTGCTGCAATAACAACACACTTTCACGTAATTTACGAAAATGACAGAAATTTTAAAAAATTAATCTCACTTCTCCATTATGGCAGTTAGTAGTATGAATGGAGTTTATGGAAGAGATCACCAGTTGCAATTGCAGTGCAGAAACAATTCCTCGAAGAAACAATTCAGCGAAGAAATCAATCCTGTGAAGAAAAACTGATCTTTGAAAATCTTGAATGAGAAACTGGTAGATTTCTTAATCTTCATAATATATACATACGACAAGATAATATCTGCATAAACACGATTTGTCACCCTCAACAATAATATCGGAACCGAAAATGTGTCGGAACATTCTGACCTAGAACTCTACGATCTCAACCCTATACGCCAGAGAAACAAGAACTACTTCCTGAGAAATGTACAGGTCTGTGTCTCCAATATATGACGCCAAACCACTAAGCTAAACCACGAAACTTCGACTCACTTCACTCCATTATGTTGGAGGGAGTCTATAGCTTGTCTAAGCTAAGAACTCCTCCCGCCACAAAGTCTGAGGCTGTCTGGGGCCATGGAAACAAAAATGGCTCAATTTGGGGAGGGTAGCTTCACTCTAGGACTAACACAATAGACCGAAAGACATTCCCTTTCTCTTGCCGACCTGAGCCGAAACAACTCCAAGACAGTGATCCTCCCCCCTACTTAGTCATACCTCGTTACCGTAGACACCGCCACAGGTTCAGACGAATGTCTGGAGGAATTCTTATTTTAGAGATACTATACTTTTAGTTCTCCACACATAGGAAAACGTAGAAAATCACTGTTTCGACTGAATCGGGATACTTTATTTAAGAAAATTTAAGTTCACTGAGTTTTTGACTAATGAAGATGTTACTTACACCAGTTCAGATGAACTATACTACGATCTGGAGTGTTCGAAAAGAAAGTTGTCATAGGCCTTTGTATTTTTATTGGTTGTTATTTGCTCCCAAAAAGCGTTTCGACTGATGATAACACACACTTGCTGATCAAGAAATATTTTTTAGCGGAGATATTTAGAGTAAGGAGTGGTTTGAAGTATTTTATGGTATAGTGCAGTAATTTTGCTACTTACTCCCCGATCTAAGACCACAAGGAGCCTGTCACAGTGTAGTAGTGATATTTATTGTCCCTATATCTTAAATTTATTGTTCAAAATAATACGTCATTATCGTTAATAACAAAAGGGTTTGTTTTGAGTACGTCATTGTCATCTAGGTGTCCGACTTCTTTTTGAATTCTCTAACACATCTCTTTCGTCATCTTTTTTTACTTTGCAAATACATTTTTCCTTAATTTGGGATATAATTTCTTGAGATGTCTTCACGATTATATTTTTTAAAGATTTTTTTTAAATGTTTTAAAAATCTTTAATGTCATTCTTTTTTTTCTTAAATATTGTGCTGTTAGATAAAAATTATTTTTGTCTTTTTCAGATCTACTCGCCATCACCGGTAAGGAAAGCAAACACTTTTTGCTTTTTTAAATATGAAAAGTGGCTGTTGTAAGCATTTATATAAACATTGAAGTAATACACAAAATATGATAGTTATTAGATACAAGCCGCCGAAGGCGTTCAGCTGTCCGCCACGCTAAAGGTTTTCACAAATAAAGTTTTTTAAAACGTAGCAGGAAATCTGAAGATAAGTGGACAATTAAAGTGTTCCTGTCCTGCAATTTTGTCTTTATATCCAGTTCTGTTGCAGATGTGTTATAGCTCTTGAGGATGTTTGAAGACGTAACTTTGCTATGGTAACCTAAGGCCTATGGTAACCTAACCTATAATATAACTATCAGGTGGAGACTCGCTTTTTTTTTTAAAAAAAAATAGGCCTCAGAAATTGTAAAAGTATACAAAAGTTGCTTTCGAAATCATCATTGGCCAATAGCTGAAAACCTCTTCTAATCTTCTTTGACGTTTCTCTGATACTTCTTGGGCTCTGGAATTGCTTGTCGAAATTCGGTCATGTTCCATCCTTCTTTGACGTTCCACAGACGTTTCTTGGGCCCTTCTTCTTTGAGAATCTCTTAATATCTTTTTCTTTGACAAAATGCAAAGTTTTTTGGAAGGCGGTTTTGCCATGTCAGTAATTGGGTTTTTAAGAAGTCAACGAATACTTTAGAACAAGAATTACTATGAAAGCAAATCATGAAATTTCAATATTAAAATCTAAGTGCTTACCTGCAAACTGAAACTTTCTGAAAATAACTAGTTACTTTTAATAAAAACTGCTAAAATAAAGAATAGAGAAACCAAAGAGATCCAAGGTAAATGTGATAATTCCTTCAAAAACAAATAAATTCCTATTTTATATATTATATAGCTACAACGCTTAAGAAAAAAAAGCTAAAATGCTAAATACATGAAAAGAACACGAAAACGAGTTAATTTTTTATGGTATCAATTTCTATTTCTATATAATTTTTAATGGTATCAATTTCTATTTCTATATAATTTTTTATGGTATCAAATTCTATTTCTATATCTGTTACGTCAAGCACTCAGGTATTATAATTTGATCTAGTTGTGCTTGTATAATTTTGATCTAGTTGCGCTTTCTACGTCATTTTGTTAACATCGTTTGGTTTGTTATTTAACATCGTTTGGTTTGTTATTTCTAAGTTAACTTTCAAAAAATTGGCTGGCATCAGCATTTTTATTCTTTAAGTTGTTTATTTTTTCTTTTGGAATTCGTTCCTTTTTAGCGAAATGTTTTTCAACCTAATCGAATTCTTTGCCGACTGTTCTCTGTATATATAAAGAAAATAAAGTAAATATTTTTAAAGTGTTGTGAAAAGAATTTTTAGTTGTACAAAGTACTACAATATCGCTATAAAAATTATCGTCTTCGCTTAAGAAAAAAAAAAAAGAGCGTGGAAAGAAGAAGAAAAACTTATTATAACAATTATGAACAGCGACAAATATATCAAAGCGAAGCGTTCTATTTACGTATCGAATATGTTGCCACATTTTTAATACAAAAGTTAAACTTTTCTCCACTTTAATAAATGTAAACTAATGCGAACTTTACAATTAAATTATTAATTCCTTCGTATATTATTGGTTTAAGTTGTCGAAAATTAATATTTCAATTGTAAGGTTCGCATTAGCATACATTTACAAGAGTCGAGAAAGGTATATGCATTTTTTAATAGTTTTTTGAATATGGTTTTTGAAGACGAAAAAGCATAGATTTTCTTACAAAATGCTTCTCATTATGTCAAAACACAATTATGTGCCGAGTTTCGTGCCTGGGCGAGGCTTCTGGGGTGATATATTGTGATTGCAGACAGACAGACAAACAGACACACACACAGCCGCGTTTATTATTATGTATAGATTTATCAACAATACTATTCTAATGTGTCATATTTTTTAAAAATGTCATGTTAAAAAATGGAAAATACATATACTTATGATTTTAATAGTCAGAAAATTAAGGGAGTTGATAATTTATTTGTAATGGACCATTTTTCGAAGATTAACTAATTAAATGTCACATCCAGTAAATTTTATCTCATGTGGTTTCTTGAAATAAACAATTAGTTTTAAAAATTTTAATTAAAAAAATTATTAATTGTTTTGCGCAAAGCATTAAAATTTCTAGTAATTTTGATTTCTTGCAATTTTCTTTTTGTAAAAAACACTAAAAGTAACTTAATCGAAAGTAAAATAATTGTATTTTATTTGCATGGTTCTAAATAGCACAATTATTGTCCTCTTTCAGAATCGTGGACGTTGTAAAGAGCCTGAAAGCAAGTAATGATATCTCTGTTAGAACTGTAAAATGATGCTCACGAGGTTATGGGAAATACAACATGTTTAATTTTATGCATAATAAATTATTAAATAATGTATTAAAAATGTGTTTTCTTGATTTCATGTGTGTTTTCTTATATAATTAACATGGAATGAAAATTATGAGATAAATCAGATTAGGAATCTTTCTTTTTTCGCATAAAGTTAATAGTAACAAGACAATCAAATACTATAACAGCGAAAAAAGAAAAAAAGGATCCATAAATTTCAAGTGCAATTACATGTAATCACCAAAAGTTATCATCCGTTATTTCTAAATTCGGTTTATTAACTTAGTACTTGTATGCTATTGACAACGAACTGGAAAACATCCTGAGGATGATCCTTGGACATGCCATCCCAATTTTGATCCTCCGTAGGGAATATCTTCCTCGATTTGGAAGCTCGACTATGAAACCAAACTTCTGGAAAACATCCTGAAGATGATCCTTAGATTTGCCATCCAAATTTTCACCCTCCCTAGAGAATAGTTTCCTCGCTTTGGAAGCCCGATTTTGAAGCCGAGCATCTGGAAAACACCCTGATTATGATCCTTAGACATGCTATCCCAATTTTGATCCTCCGAATGGAATAGCTTCCTCGTTTTGGAAGAGCGACTACAAAGCAGAGCACTTTATTGCCAAGCATTTTAACACGATTATTAAAAACGTAGCACTAAAGTTGATATTTTTTTCATCAAATTAATTTTTTAATTTAATATTATGTCCAAAATTTGGTGACAAGTTTCAAGGATAGACATAACAATCCTTATAAAACGAAACTTTCATATTCATTTAATGACTAACAGCAGTTGCTATTTTCTGCAGTTAGCTTCGGTGCTCGTCTGTAAAAACTTTAGAATCAATTCATGAAACAGAGTAGGACGAAAAAACTGAATTTTTTATGCCTTAAATAAATAAATAAATAAATTAAATAAAATTTTTTTTAAAATCGATTGGTTTTCTTATCGCGCTCAAAATTTATAAAAACATATCTGAATTTTTAAGACCTTTTAATGTACAACCATTATTCGATTGCTTCTTATTCCTATTTTTTAATTAAAAAAACTTAAAATTAATTATAATGTCATAATTTTTTCATATTATGAACTGATCGAGCAATGTATTTGAAAAACGCTATCGATCCTACTTTTTTTCAGTTTTTCTTCGATAGAACAAAATTTATATGGTTCTTGAAAATAATTTGATTCTTGAAAGTTTTACGCCAAATTTTGAGCCATCTGTAACACAATGAATCGAAGACTGCATTTATCAGGCAGGCGTTTAAATGTCAACTCACCTGAGAGATTTTTCATAAGAGTGAACAAAATGAACACAGTTTTTTTTTCATTTGATGCCGTTTTGAAGAAGGAATTAAAATTTCTGTTGATAAAAATAAAATATGCGGGATATTTAAAAAAAGTGCTAGGGGACTAGAAAAAGATTTTAGAAAAATTCATTTATTTTTACATTGTCTTTTCTCAGAACATTTCAGCTTAGTTACTGTGGTGTGGCTAACTCAAAAAGGGGGGTGACTAACATTAAGTCAAATTAAGATTAAATAAAATTTAGATACTAATTATGTAAAGGCCGAAAAAGTATAAATGGTGTACAGAGGAAGTGGGTGCAAACATTAAGGTAAGCGCAACAAAGGAGCATGCTGAAAAAAAGGAAGAGAACACAACTTATACTGTAAAATTACTCACCAGACTCATAGTTAATGATGCAGAAAATCATAGTTTATTTATAAAATAACATTTAAAAACAAGTAAAAATGCTTGGCAAACATGCCAACACCAGAAATCTCGGCCTAAGCCGCAAAAACTAAACAAAACTACAATTGAGAGAAAAACAACTGCTACTGACTATTTCTTCATTATGAAGATAGGGGAGAAAACTCTCGCCAAAAAAATTAAACTTTTGCGAATAACCATTCGGTTGGCTGAAGAAGGATCAGAGGGGCAAATCACAGAGCTGCAAATATTGGCCAACTGGCGAAATTAATTATTAAGCTCCATGCCAAACATGAAGCGGGGTTGTCTAAAGTGGTGACACACCTGGTAAAGAATTTTGTGGAATGTACTGGAACATTCTTGGCGCCATCATAAGATCAAAAGGGGCGCTTTGCATTTGATGCAAGACGAAACGTGGGAAAGGTGACTTGGTGTTATTCTTCTCCATCCAACAATAGGGGTTTGCTGACTGGACATACATCTTGCTGTCAGCAAGTAACAAAAGGAGGAATCTTCTTTTAAAGGAAGAACATACATGCAGANATGTCTCAAAGTTGAAAATTAGTGATGCAGTTTTAAAAGCTGTCTCTCTCGAAACAATGGAATATTTTACAATGGATAAATTATAAACAATGGATTAATTATAAACACAGCAATGGTTAAGAATATATAAGGACGATCCCTCACGGCCATGAACTTCCTCACACCTTTAGGAAGCCACTTATCACTGACTTCAACTGCCCTAGAACCTTGACATCGGTAATAGCAAGTCTTAGAAAATATCATTTCACAGAGATGAAAATTTCTCCCGGACAAAACTTGGACATACGTTCCCTACAGAAACTGCCCGGAAGTTATGTTGGCATAAACACATTTTCGAGTGCCCCGTACTCACCACACATGTTTTGAAATTGAGATGGGCACCATTTGAGGACAATCTATGAGCTGTTCATTATAGTCAAGAGGCGCCGAAGCTGACGGTAGCAATAGTCCAGACCTTTGATGTTGTCTGAAGATCTATGGACATGAAAACAGCTTCCCTGAGTGTGACTCAGATGAGTACAGGTTTTTTTACCTTTATATTTTACTGAAAACACCCAATCATATGCATCAGATTGTATTTTTGCAAATAGTTAGAAGGCAGAGCGCGTTTACAAGTTGCGATTTCAGCTTTTAATTTTACCGTCCGTTTGCAGTCGAGGTTTTTTCTACAATAAATATAGAACGCAACATCTAAGAGTTTACAACTCTCAATTTTTCCGGTCACCACATAACGCATGGAAACCATAAATAAATTGGTCACTAAGCTTTGAAGTATAAAAATGTTAACATTCATAGTAGTGAGTGATTTTTTGTGCTGGACAGACACCCTCGATCTGTACAAAGATCTGTTGTTGTTGTTGCCGCTTATCCTCATCTGGCCTGACGAAGTCAGATCAGATCTATGAACCCATTGATCTGAATGAAATCGGAGACCAAAAGAGGAGAAGAAAAGATGTCCTCCCAGAGAAGACCAAGACAATCCAGGATATGATTGGCGAAAGCACGGTGTAGATGGCATTTCGGGCAGAGGGAGTAGGTTTTAATGCCATTAGAAAATAGTAAACCTTTCACATGGCCGGTAGGTAGGCAGGAGAGGATGGTGAAGACTCTCCTTTCAAATGGGAGATTTAAAGAAACTCAAGGCTTATTTCCTTTGTACCATTGGTGGGTCGGAGGAATCAGCCAGTCTCTGAGAGGCTGGGATTTCATTAGGGAGTTAAGTTCAAGATAGGTGAGATCGGAAGAGGTAGGGTGCGGTAGGCTGCAACCCTCTTTAGCAAGGTTGTCCGTTAAGTTGTTGCCTTCGAGACCGTGACAAGGAACCAGTTGACAAAGATCTAAATTAATACATCTTATGTGACACGACGAGTTGAATCCGTGAAAATGAATGAATATAATCTTATCTTGTTCGAATATTTGATCTCGTTGAATATTTGTACCAAACAGTTTATTTTATTTAATTGTCAATTGTGACTTCCTTAGCACACTTGTAAAATTACGCACTTGTTTTTTTGTAGTTGCAACAGACAATTTAAATCTCTCATGAAAAAAGCACCTGAAATTAAAAAAAATATTCTTTTTTCAATACTTTGCTCTGAAAAAAAAAACTACCTCGAAGTTCAATTGTGGAGCATTCACCAATCTGTTTCGTTATCATATATGGGAATGTTACTTTCAATTATATTTTAGTTTAAATGTCAAAAATTTAAAATTCAGGAAACAAAATTTATTGATCAGGGTAGAGGTGACTGGTGTCACCTTGGAGCCAAAATTTTGTGAGACAATCACCACTTCAAAGTTTCATTAGTTGAATGTTCGACCAATTCCTCATAAATCTGAACCTCTGTGGTTTCAATATTCACAAAAGGGATCATAACCCAATAACCCATTGAGAGACTTCCAGGGAAAAAAATATATTTAAAACGATCAGAAAATCCAGGCGCAAAGAGTCAAGGTGTTGACAATATTCTTGTTCATCATTAAGGCGAATTTCACCTGCTTGGCTGAACTCATTCCAACCAAAATTCTGCCTCCACGAAATGCATTTTTTCAGAAAGGCAGGACTGACTGATTTTGTCGGGATAAAATTGAGCTCGTCGCCTTGAAGTTGTAAATTAATGCCATTAAGTTTTACAAGTAAATCCGCCCAAGTCTTTCTTAAATTCTAGCAATCTGTCTCTCAGAGCTACATTTCTGTTCCAGAGTAACTCAAGCACAGAGTCGAAAAGATTCCAAAACCTATTAACAAACGCTCCTTTGGAAAGTCAGAGAATCTCGGTGTGCAGTAGCAAGCGATTGAATTCCTCATCATACACAGGTGTCTGAATAATCAATAGTTAAGAGCATTACTGTGAATTTTATTCACAGCAAATATGATATATTGCAATAACTGGTGCAAATGGTCAATGAGATTTTTTCCTACTAAATGAGGGTCTGTGAATCACGCAGTGAACAGCTAAAATATCTGGTATTTCCCATTTCAAAAGGGCGATAAACCCACTATGTCGACAAACCATTGCAGGAGCTCCATCAGTGGCAATCGACATAATATTGGCAAGAACAGTGTTTTTATCTGCAAAATAATTTTGGTCAGTATTAAAAATAGATTCCCCTTTGGTATTTACGATACCGCCCCCGTTGAGATGTTGAAACAGTGATTTATATGAAATCAATGTGCTTAAATTTGTGAATGCTCGAAATTTTTTTAAACTCTAATACTTTAGAAAATTTTTTACACCTAGTTTGTTATCAAAACTTTGGATTCTCTATTGATTTTTTTTATTG